AGAGTCGCATGGTCGGTAAATACACCGCTGCATTTGCTGGCGACCTGGTCCTGCCCGGCGCAGGCGGCGCAGCAGGCGCGCCTTGGGCAAGGGCCAAGGGGTGGCCGGGGGAGGGGGGGCTGGGAAGGAGGGGGGGTGGGGGGGGCGAAGGGCGGAGGGGGGATAATATGGATGATGGGATCTGGATGATGATGGGGCGATGGATGATTGGATGATGCAAGTCGGAGGTCAGAGGCTACATGTCAATTGTCAATATGTCAATGTTATGCTACTAGGTTACTAAGGTCTGACTGTCTGACTCAAGTGAGAGCATCGAGCATCGAGCACTGAGTTCTGACTGCGAAAAGAGAGGCCGAGAGAGAGAGAGAGAGAGAGAAAAAGAAAGAGAGAGAGAGAGAGAGAGAGTGCGAGAGAGAGGGGGAGAGAGACACAAACGACAGAGAGAGTGAGCGAGAGAGATAAGGAAGAGAGAGAGAGAGAGAGAGAGAGAGATATATATATATAGAGAGAACTAGACCAAGAATTTGTTTCGACGGAGCGGGCCCGCGATACATGTATATATATTATGATATGTATATAAATATAGATATCTAGAAAGAGAGAGAGAGAGAGAGAGAGAGAGAGAGAGAGAGAGAGAGAGAGAGAGAGAGAGAGAGAGAGAGAGAGAGAGAGAGAGAGAGAGCGAGAGAGCTGAGAGCGGGCAGCCAGCCTCCGCAGGCGCTGCGGGCGGCGTGGAGACATCGCAGGGCATGGAACTCGCGGAACAGCTGCGGACCCATGTCTCGTCTTTCCCTGCGTCTCTGCCTCTCTTGCTTCTTCCTCCCCCCTGCCTTTCCCGCGTTCTTACTGCTATCTTACTACCTTCCTGCCTCCACGTCCTACGCCCTGCGCCCCTGCGTCCCTGCGTCCTACGTCATTATCCTTCTCCTCTTCGCCTCCCTCTCATGCTCCGCCCCCCCCGCCCTGCCCCCCCGACTGCTGCGTTTCTTTGCCATGCGCGCCCAAGAACCCCGCCGCGACAAGCGCATCAGCCCGCGCATCGCGGTGGGGCACGAGGCCGCGCCATATTGCGAGCTTGCGGCCGAGCCACGCCACTGGGGATATTGACTGGGGGAGTGCCTTCGGGCCGGTTTCGGGGGGCTGGTCGGTTCCGTCCGCCCCCCCCTTAGCCCGCCAGAATCCCTCCTTTCTTACAGCCAATCGAGGGGGGCAGGCGAGGCGTGATCGTGTGCCTGCTCCCCCAGTCCCGTGGGCGCACAGTTTCCCGCACTGTCTGGTCCTTCACACACACCCCGCTTCCTTCCTGAGGTCGCGCCTTCCCTACCGACTTTGTTCCTTTCGACATCCTCCCTACGTTGCATGCTACCCTCATACCTTCCTATTTCCTACTTCCTTTCCCTACCTCCCTACCTCATACCTCCTCCGCCTCCCCCCATTTCCGCACCCCTGAGGACGACGCTCGATACGCTGACTTCGTGGAAGACGTTTAAGCTCACGACTGAGAAGCCAGCTGGCCAGTACGACCAGGCGGCTGCGCATGCTGCCTTGTGCGCACTTGTCGCATCGGGCGCGAAGGTCCCCGATGCCACGTGCTTCTCCACTTGGAGGCGGGGCGCTGGACTTGCAGCGGATCAGGCTGACTGGGCGACCTTCGCTGGCTATATGACATTCCAGGCTGCGCAATGGCACGCCACGCTGCACCGCCCACCGATCACTGCTGGCGAGGGCGAACCTAGCGTCTCGCGGGTCATCATGGAGACGCTCGTGGTCATCTTCAGGCAGCCAGCTAACGTCGGCGTGGGCGCGCTCACTGGCATGCTTCAGAGCATCGGTGGCTCCGCCACTGGACCGCCGCCACTGCTGACGGCGGCCGGCTGCGAAGCGTTCGCCACGGAAGTGGAGCGGCTATGCCGGCTGGTATTCATCGCCGCGGTTCCCGACGCGGAGGTCGACAAGGTTGTAGGCGACAAGGAGGCGATGCTTGACGTTCACGGCGAACATCCTAGTCCTTTCCTGAAAGCTTTGATGTTCTTGCCCACTGGCATTGCAGTGCTCCACGCCGTGTCCACAGAAGGCGCGCGGATCAAATCCAAGGAAGTGCTTGCAGGGCAGCTCAATGACATCTGCGACATTATTGCTTCAATGCAGTCGCCACTTCAGCTCGAGAATGAGGGTGACGCGGCTGGCGTCGGGTCAGTGGCCTTGCCGAAGGAGACAGCTGTTGCCGTGGAGACGGCCATGGGCAAGTACGATCAGCTGATGAGCACGATGACCGACAGGTTCAAGGAGCAACGCAAGCACGATCTGGACCAGGTTTGGGCCCTCCTTCACTCCCTCACTAGCGAGAAGAAATAGGAGGAGGAGGAGGAGGAGGAGGGGGGGGAGGAGGAGGAGGAGGTGAGGCGGTGGAGACGGCGGAGGACGGAGGGCGGAGGAGGGGAAGGGAGAAGGGAGAAGGGAGACGGAATGATGATAACAGCAGGATGCAGGAGGCAAGACCGCGCCGCCAGGTCTCAGCCAAGCTCGACGCGATCGGGGCGGACTTCGAGACCGCCACGAAGGAGCGCAACGTGGCCTTGCTCAACCGGGCGCTGGTCGACGTGTCCAGTGTGGCTTCTCGCGCAGAGCTTGACCGCCCACTCCAGCTTCTCAGAGCCGTCGCCGAGGCGGAGGGACCTCGCTGCAACCACCTCGCCCCTGATCGAGCATCGCGCGTGAGTTCCGCGCACTCACGGACAGCGGAGGCCGCGCACGCATGGGCGTCAGGGCTCGCCATGCTCATGAGCGACAACCATGACAACCTCAAATCGAGTGAGCTGCAGCAGTTCTATGATCAAGTCGTCATGTCCAACGAGAACTGCCGCGTGCCATTGGAGACGGTCCTCGGCGGGAACATCGCCAACTGGCCACCCGCGGTGCTCAAGGCGAGGCTACTGCTGCAGTGTGCCTGCAGCGCAGCCTTGACTACCAGCCCATTTGGAGTTCTTGCTGCTGCCTCGCGCATGGAGGCGGGCACTGGCGACCTGGCCAAGGAGTGCGAGGCGGCCGCCACGAACCTGAGCGACGACGAGGAGTGGTCGCCACGAGTTCTCGCGTCCCTGGACGCGTTGAGCTGCATCGCATCCACCATTTGCCGCTTCCGCCCTGCATTCTCACCTGGTTGGGGACCGAGCACACAGGGCCCAGCGAACCCCGCGGCGTTCCAGAAGCATTCAGGCGACCACGTGTTACTTGCAATCAAGATGTTTTGGTTTTGCAAGGAGAGGCGTGCTGCGCAATCTCTGGTGGACGCTACTGCCCTCAATGAGGACGGCGAACCTGGAAGCGCGCTGTACCCCGCGTTCTGGCAGCACGTCGACGGCGACGAGGGTGGCGCGAGGGCCCGGCAGGACCTCCTCGACGACGGCGACGAAGACCCCCGCCTCATGCTCTGGAGGGCGGAGGAGGATGAGGAGGAGGATGAGGAGGGAGGAGGAGGAAGGGGAGAGCGAAGTTGCCCTGGACCCTGGACTCCCTGGACTGGACCCTGGACCCTGGGCCCTGGACTGATTGATCGACGATCGACGATCGATCGGCGATCGATCATCCGATCGACGATCCATCAGTCCAGGAGTCCAGGGTCGATCGATCATTTCTCATTTCCCAGTTAGCTCCTGTCGATGTGCGTGTGGGGGGTCGGTGTGGGGTGTGGGGTGTGGGGTGTGGGTATGGTATGGTGTATGGTCAATGTCAGCGTGTCAGTGGTCAGTGGTCACGTGATGTGATGTGTGAGGTGTGATGTGATGTGATTCGTGATGTGATATGACGATGTGTGGTGTGTGACGTGTGCGGAGTGTGTGCTGAGCTGGTCTTTCTTGACCCCGCTGAAGGAGGCGCCGTTGGCGCACCGCGCAAAGTTGGGGACGGCGTTCGCCAGCGCTCTCAACGCAGCGGTGTGCCTCCACAGGACTGCCCTCGCCGAGGTGAACGAAGTGGTGTCGTCATGGATTGCGGCAGGGTGCACTGTGACGCCTCAGGCCCGAGCGCTGGCCTCGGTTTGCGCAGCGACGACGGATGCCATGTGCGCTACGTTGGTTGACAGGGTCGAGGACTTGGCCCGCATGACGAAACAGCTCTGGCGACGCTGCCCGACGACGACGCCTTCCACCTGGGCCCACTCCCGCTCAGCGACGCTCTCGACCAGATGAGCGAGGCGGGCTTAATCGTTCAGGAGAAGGATAGCGCCACGTACTTGGAGGTCGCCAGCGGCAAACCCGCCAAGACGTTGTGCAGGCCTTAGCGTTGCCGCGCTAGTGGCGGCTAGCCTCCTACCCCCTACCTCCTACATCCTACATGCTGCCACTTACCACTTACCCCCGCAGCCCCCTCCCCCTCCCCTCCTCCTGCTTCCACGCCCCCCTCCTCCCTCCTCCACCTCGACCTCGCCCTCGTAAACTCCTACGCCACCCCTCCTGTGTCTCCTCCTCCCGCCCCCCCGGTCGCGCGGCATCGCCTGCGACCTGGCGCGGACATGGGGTGGGGGTGGACCGACGAAGCAGGGAAGTATAAATATATATATATATATATATGATGGGGAGGAGGTGGTCGGAGGTAGGGCCTTGGTAGGGCCAGGTAGGAGGTAGGAGGTAGGTAGGTCGGAGGTTAGAGGTTGGTGGGAGGTAGGCTGCCAGGTAGGACCAGGTAGGAGGTCGGATGTATGAGGATGCGGCATGAGGCATGGCGGCATGACCGAGTAGGAGGTAGGAGCCAGGTAGGACCAGAGGTTGGAACAGGAGGGATGGAGGGCGGCAATGACCAAGGGCCTGGAAGGAGCAACGAGGAGACTGAGCAGGAGGAGGAGGAGGAATAGAGAAGGAGAGATGGGAAATGAGGATGAGGTCCTACGACGGAGAGGAGGATGCGAACGCGGGCGGTCCAGGAACGAGGCACGGGCGATGTCTTGAGTCTTGAGACGGAGGAGGACGCGGATGTGTGCCCTTGCCCCTTGCCTGAGCCCTGAGGTTCTTCGTGTGGAAGTTCTACAACGAGACGTGCATTCCTCTGCTGCAGCACGCGCTCGCAGTTCCTGGGCGCCACCAGCAGCAGCAGCCGAGTACTCCGTCGCACGCTTGGTGGTTCCAGGAGAAGGCCATCGTCCGCGCTGGCCGCCTCGCTGCTTCCATGGCCGTCATGCAGGCGATGTTCCGTGCGACTGGCTTCTCGCTCGGCGACCTTGCAAGCCACTTGCGCAGGGTGCTGGCGTCGCTTGAGGCCAAAGCGCACACGGTCGGCTCCGAGGCTATTCAGCTGAACCTGATGACCCCGCACCCCTGCGTGCTCGGAGCCGTCAATTCCTTGCTGGCGCAGGCGACGCAGCCCGCGAAGAAGCGCCGCAGTGGCGGCGGGCATGGGGCCTCAGCGGCGTCGCAGGCGAGGTGAGGGGCAAGTGCTACGCTGGCCTAGCGGTTGGAGGTTGGAGGTTGGGAAAGTGAATAAGAGAGAGGATGGATGATCTAGCTGCAGCTGGGGCAGGAGGCAGGAGGCGGGCACGACACTAATTCGGACTGCAGTTTTTGCGCGGCGGATCATCATGCAGGGCACGCTGCACTGGACATTAGGCGCAGCGGCATTCGGGCCATCATGCGACATGTCCTTTTCTGCCCGGGCCCCTCGCTCTCACACGCTCGCTCAAGATGTTCTGGGACCTGGGACCTGTGACTCTGGGACCCTGGGCCGTCCGCTGTCCAGGGGCCAAAACCAATAATCACCTCGCGCCTCGCGCCTCGCGCTCCTCACCGAGGCTCGCTCCTCACTCCTCAGTACTCAGTCCTCTCTCCTCACTCCTCACTACTCACTACCCAGGCCCCAGGCCGCCTGGCCCAGGCGCATGCCCTTGGCCCACGCAGTCGACATCCGTCACCATTTTTGTCTTAGGTCTTAGGAGCGGCCACTCGCCCCATCGACCGGCGCGCAGAGAATTGAGATCGGGGCAGATCTCTTCTCATGTAGTGTTTCGGGGCAACAGGCCACGCGTTGACGTCCATTCGTCCCAGTGGCGATCACGGAGCAGCGCTCGGCTTGGCACGGAGCTCCAAGGAGCGCGACACGACGCGGCAGTGCGCGTGTCAGAACATTTGCATTTGTATCAGTCTCCCGTCTACAATCTCAAATCTGTCTCATTGCTGTATCATTGCTCCGCGCCATGAGGAGGAGGACGGGGGATGAGGAATGATGATGATGGAGGAATGGAGGAAGGAGGAATGAGGAGAGAGGAGGGATAGTGGTGGAGGAGGGTGGAGGGAGGGGGGGATGAGGGCGGTGAGATGAGGATGATGAGGGGGCGGATGAGGAGGATGATGAGGAGGAGGAGGAGATCAAAGGGTGAGGAGGGATGAGGAGGAGGAGGAGGGGGAGGATGATGATGATGACGATGATGATAATGATGATGCGAGTGCTGCGGATGATGATGGTGATCATGTGGGTGTCTGGTGATGATAATGATGGCGATGACGGTGATGCTGACGATTGTCATGGTGGTGATGCTGAAGAGGAGGAGGGAGGGGGAGGAGGAGGAGCATAAGGAGGAGGGAGGACGAGAGGAAGAGGATGAGACGGATGAGGAGGAAGTAGGGGTGAGGCGTTCCAGTGTTCAGTGTGTTCAGTGAGCAGGAGGCAGTAGGCCAGGCAGCCAGGCAGGAGGAAGGACGGAGGACGGAGGAGCGGAGGAGGGGGGAGGAGGACGTGGACGGAGGACGGAGGACTGAGGAGACGGGAAAGGGGCCCGCCACCCTGGCCGCCGCTGGCCGCCCGCGCTGGCAGGATCTTGGCTTCGCCGCGGCAGCGATGGCGACGACGATGCCTACATTCCGACGGGGTTTCCCCATCCTCCTCCTCTCTCCTCCTCAGGCTTCTCCTCCTCTTCCTCCTCCTCCCCCCTCATCCCTCATCATCAGGCTCCTCCTCCTCCGCCCTCCTCCTCCTCAGTCCCTCCTCCTCCTCCAACCGCATCCGCCCCCTCCGACGGCGCTCGCCCCCCCCCCCCCCCCCCCTGGTGGCTCCAAAAGGGGGGGGGGGGGGGGGGGGGCGTGTATTCCGACATCCAGAGTAAGTTGATGGCGATGGCGATGGCGACGTCGGCACCGATGGCAGCATCGCCCCTCCTCAACCGCCGCTGCGTTAGGTGGCTAGGGGTGCCGATGCCGCACGTCTTATTTTGATCCTCCTCCTCTTCTCTGCGTTCTCCATTCCTCTCCACCCCGACCGCCTGCTCTTCCTCCCATGAGTTCACCCCCCCCCGTCCTTCCCGAGGCCGTCCCCCGCCTCTGCCTAAGTCTAAGTCCTTCTCGGAGTCTCACCGAACCTTGTCAACCGAGGTTTGGAATCTCATTGAAACGCGAACGTAGGGTCAGACGCCCTATTCGTGCGCGCGTTCATATTTGACCATGGTCTTGAACAAGGTTTCTCCACGATGATCGCAGCGAGGGGCAATGGGCGAGGTCGGAAGGCCCGCGGGGTCACTGTCACAAGCCCCCCTCCCCCCCGCGAAGGTCACTGTCACGGGCCCCCCCCGCCCCCCCCGCTCGTCGCGGTCACGCGCGCCGCCCGTCGCTGTCACAACCCCTCGGGGGTGATTTGTAGAAACCAAGGAGCGGAACAGCCAGATATACATATATGGGGGGTTCCGGCCCCAGGGGCCCGCAGGGCCCCCCCCCCTTGTACATAGGTAGCGCCCCCCTCCCAGGAGCCCTCCGGGACCCGCCCCCGAGGCTCAGAGCAGCCCTAAATCCGCTCAAGATTGTTTACGGATGGCCCAAGAGCTCTCCAAGACGCACCACAAGGACCCCAAGAGCGCTCCAAGACGGCCCAGGAGGCCCCCAAGGGTGCCCGAGAAGCTTCGGAAAAAGGTCCTCGAGAAATTCGAATATTTCTCAAACCAGCGGGAAATCGATATTTTTGGCCTCAGAGGCCCTGAAGACGGCCCAAGAGGCCTCCCACAAGGTCACCCAAAGGCAAAAACAGCCAAATTTTTTTAGCAGTTTTTAGCATATTCGTTTCTTCGGTCCTAACAGCGCCCAAGACGGACCCAAAGGCCCCCAGAACGGCCGTAAGACGACCCAAGAGGCCCCCAAGAGGGCCCCAAGACGGCCCAAGAGAGCTCCAACACGGCCCATGAGAGCCCCCCGACGGCCCACGACGGTCCCCAGAGGTTCCCAAAAGAGTCCCCAGGGAGCCCCAGGAGGGCCACAGAAGGCACCCTCGACAGCCCAAGAGGGCCCCAAGACGGCCCAAGCGCCCAAGACGGTCCAAGAGGGCCCCGGGACGGGCCAAGAGGGCCCCAAAGAGCCCCAAAGAGCCCCAAAAGGACCCCCAAGAAGGTCCCAAGAGGCCCCCAGAGACTCCCAAAACGCCGCCAAACGGTCCTAGGAGGCTTCCCAGTAGTCACCCCTAAGCGTATGGGAGATCTCGCTTCGACGTCCTGCACGAGGCTCCCAGAAAAGGCTTCAAGAGGCTCCCGATTCACGATCCATCTCAGGTCTTCAGAGGCCTCACAGAAACATGCCGCGCGGCCCACAGAAGCACCCAAGACGCCCCGAACTCACGATCCAGGTCAGGGGTGTATTTATTTCCATGGGCGGGGCGGCGTGATGCGAACGTTGGCTCCGGAACCGTCGGTGGAGCTCCCTGTTGATACGATTCGTGTGAGGAGACAGTCGACATACGCGTGGGGGGGGGGCGTGACGTTGTGCGAATCCCCACACTAAGGCCGTACGTGAAACGACGTCCCTCTGGGGCACGATTCGTGTGTTGGGTGTGCCGAGATGGGCGGAGCGACGCCGTGCGAACTTTGTCCCTGGACCCGAAAGAGGAGCTCCCAGGGGGACAAGATCCGTGTGAGTGCCGTGCCGAAATTGACGGGGGGGGCGCCATGTGAACCCCGCCTTCATCTGGGGCCGTAGGTCTCGCTTCCATCCGCATGATCGGTACTTTTTCACCTCGAGCTCAAGCCAGTTGTGGGTCACTGCTTCAGTGGAGCTGTGACCTTCTCAAGGGATGGGGCTGTTGAGAACGCCGCTCTTGGGGCTCATTGTGGGCCTCTGCGTTTTTTTGTCGCGCTGAGGAGGCACTTCCTTGGACCCTCTCTTTCTGTCGTTATCTCCGGGCTTTCTTGGGGCGCCTCTTGGGGCCCTCCTGTGCTTCGTTCTGGAGCCTGCTTGGAGCTCTTTCGGGGCCACGCTTGGGCCCTCCTTAGCCTCTCTCGGAGAACTCATTGGATGTTCTTGGGTGCCCTTTGACCCTGTCTTGGGCTCCCCTTGGGGTCCGCTTAGGCTCTTCCCAGGGCGGCTCGTCCCTGGGATCTCTGAGTTCCGTGACGCCTCGGACTCTCTCGGTTTTTTGTCTTATCGTGCATTGTATTGCATTGCATTCCACTGGGCTGCTTTCCGTTGCATGTGCAATTGCATTGTTTCGTGATTCACATTGCACTTATGAGCATCGCTTTCCTTTGCTTTGCATTGCATTCATAGCCTTGCATGTGTTTGGCTAAACTGGCTTGCGTAGCTTCGAATTGAATACTGGAGAGGCCTCACTGCCGGTGCCGCCGACCCTGAACGACGACGGCGGCGGCGACGACGACGACGACGACCAAGGGGGGTCGCTCCCCCCTATGGAGGGGGGGACTGGCCCGTGGGGGGGGGGGCTCCCTCCTGTGGACAGGGGGAGCATGGGACGCTTGGAAGGGGGGGCAAAGCGGGGACGCTGGGGGGAAGGGAGGAGAGGCTCTCTCCCCCCGGTTCTTGGGGGGGTCCCGGGGACCCTCCATCACATATTCGGGAGCGGCAAAACAATAACAGGAGCCCCACGGGCCCCAGACCACCCCCCGAGACCACCCGCCGGGACCACCCCCCGGGAGTTGCCCCGGGACACACCCCCCGCTGGGGAAGGGATCAAGGGAAGGTGCTTCCCTCCGTTGTTCGATTCGATTTCGTTTTGGCTGGATCGGTTGAGGAAGAGGGCCCGGGGAAAGGGGGAAGATGGCGAGGGCGACGACGACGACGACGACAACGACGACGGCGACGGCGACGACGACACCGACGACGACAAACGGAAGAGCGCCTCACACACGCCGACAGGGTCGGCGGATTGAGGAGCATATGTCATTGTCGGTGCTTGGGTTCTTCTCGGTTAGCATTGTGGATGCTTCTTGTACCTCATGCTTACACCATCAATGGGTAATCACTTCAGTGGATACGGGACCTCCTCAAGGGATGGGGTCGACTAGAACCTAAGCACGCGCGAAGCGCGCGCGTGGTTCTAGTATATATATATATATATATATACACAAGACTGCAGTGTCGCTGCGCGCCATGCACCTTGGTCCTTGAAGTTTGGTATGCAGGCGAAATAACAGGAAGGACAAGCCGCAAATTTAGCGATAACTC